CTCTCTCCCTGTCATTCTCCGGAGCTCGATTCCCTGGGCTGCCTCGGTGTGATCTCAGGAAGTCGCCTCTCTGGGTAGACGAATCTGGCATGTGGCTAGGTGGCAGCCCCCTCCCCTCTGCTTGCACATGACCTTCAAAGCCCTGGCTGGGTCACTGTGGGACGTGGTCACGTGTGGGACGTGGCCATACAGCAGATCTCCAAATCCAGCAGAGGCTCAGGAATGGGGCATCCGGCCTGGGTCTTCTGTTCACTGGGCACTGGCTAGTGTCCCCCGAATGACTGAGGGAGGGAAGAAAGAAGAGCATCAGGTCCTGCCATCCCCGGGATGGGGAGCTGACCCAGCAGATGTACGTGTGTCATGACCCAGCACGGGTGTGGACCTGGGGACCTGCTCCGGGGAGGATGGAGGCTATGGGCACAGGGAGAGCAGCAGGGTTCTCACCTTGCCCCAGAAGCCAGGGAACAAGCCTTCCAACAACCATATGGGTCTCTGGATTCCCAACAGTCTCCCTCTGTTCCTCATGCCTCTACGTACTCCGTTATTTGGGATTACACGTGTCAGAGATGGGTGAATGGGTGGGTGGATGCATGGACGGGTAAGTAGATTTTTGTAACACCCTGTTACAACATCCCTGTCATCCCACGGTGGGCTACTGAGTTCTCATTAGGGCACAGGTTCCTCCCCCTTAAAGATCCTCAGTGGGGGATTTGCTGTGCTGTTGGGAAGCAGCTCCCCTAAGAATTTCTAATACTGTGGAGAAGTGCTCGTATTATGAAGTTGAGTGAAAAATAAGATTTAATATTATATATAGCACAAGCTGAATTAAAACTTTCTTTATAAGGTACAATTTAATATAAAATGCAATATTATAAGGGCGCCTGAGTGGCTGAGTTGGTGAAGCACCTGCTTTTGGCTCAGTCCTGATTCTCGGGTCCTGGGCTCCTTGCTCAGCGGGGAGTGTGCTTCTGCCTCTCCCTCTGCCCCTCCCTCCCTGCCTCTGCATATGCTCTCAGGAGTGCACGCGCTCACAAATAAATAAATCAATAAAATATTTTAAAAATGCAATATTATAGGATGCGCTCTGTGAGATACTCATACAAGATACACAATCACGTTTATATATATATATATATATATATATAGAGAGAGAGAGAGAGAGAGAGAGAGAGAGAGAGATGAGCTGGACAAAACGCTATGGAAAGGCTATGGAAGGGATGTCAAAAAAAGTTCGCATTCTTTTTCTCTGAGTGGGTTGTATTCGTTTTGCTTTCCTGTTTTCTAGATATTCTAGAGCGACACATTTATAGTAAAACGGGTCAAAGTACCCTTTGTCAAGCATGCACACTCCTGCCCATCCACGATGGCTTGAGGTCACTGCCTGCCTGGGTTTACCTCTCTGGTTTTTAGGGAGCTTCATTCCCCAACACGTGACCTGGTGAGCAGCCTCTCCCTCCCCACTCTGTGCTCCCCTGGGGTGACCCCATGCCCATCCCTGACCCCAGAGACTGTGGGCTGACCCCAGTTCTGTACCCCAACCACGACTCTGCTCCCAAACTCCTGGCTGAGTTTCCAGCTGAGACAGCCATCTGTCTGGGCGTCCCACGGAGGCTTCAAAGCCATCGAGACTGAGTCCACCCTGTCCTCGCGGCCGGCCACCCCTGAAGTCCTCGCCTCTAGACCAGGGCTCAGCTGCAGAATCTCCCAAGTTCGCCAAAGCCTGGGGAACCACTCCCACAGCCTCTCCTTCTGACCCCACACTGAGTCAGGCACCACATTGCCAGTCCCCTTCCTGGAGCCACCAGGCTCCCGCGATGGCAGCGGCTTTCCTGGCCTCCACCAAGGGCCTCATCTTGTCACAGTTGGTGGGTGTTCAGGAGGGAAGGACGAGGTGGCATCTGCACTGGGGTGGGGGGGAGGCTCATTTTAACTCTGCAGGCCTGGAAGAGACTATTTTCATCTGTCACATATTTTTGGATTCTATTAGCTTTTACTTAGAAAACAGAGTAAAATAACTTGGAATAAAAAGAAAAACCTTTTACAGTCTGCAAAATCTTATTTCATTGATCTATCCCTAACACCCAACATTATTTTTTTCCTGAAAGGTAATAAACAATTCAGAACTCATTAGCATACGTCAATAATTCACGTGTTTTCTTCTGGTGTGAATCTTCTCTTGCCTGTTAGTCTCATCTTAGCTGCAAATTTCTGCTGGTTTTCCCCTGAATAACATGAACTTAAGGCTGTTTTTATTGGTTAGAAGAACTTGAACCTAATTGTGTATAAAACCCTTTCTAAAGAAAACTTCTCACCCAGAAAATGGCCCTGATTTGTGGGGTGCTAGCCATGTGCCCTGCCCTGGGCTGACCTGCCGGGAGGCATTGCCAGAAAGTCGACTTGCACACCAGTAGTGCTGGTCTACCTGGCCCAGAAGCCTCCCTTTGCTGACGGGCGGTCCCCTGATTTCTGGTCCTCAAGGAGAGCTTCCTGCTTTAAGAGAGACCTTTAAATCCCCACTGGGATTAGTGTGTCTACAGGTTGAGTGGAGAGTATGGGGGGAACCTTGAGATGAATCTGATTGAAACAAGAAACAGAAGTTGGAGATGAGCCCATCTCCTGCATCCCCTCATATCAGTTCATTTATTAGCGGAAATTACTCCACATGTGTGTTGTCCTAGGCCATGTCTGTAGAAATCACATAGTACAAGAAAACATTCAAGACATCGTAATAAATGAATCCAGTGAAGCCCATGGCAAGAAATAGCCAAGGAGTTTGGGCTACTTTGCAGTTATTCGAGAGAACAGCTGTGATTTTCCAGCTCTCACTCAGAGATGAGCAGTTGTCCAAGGCACCGTGCACTTAGGACCCTGGAATGCCCAGGGAGAGAGTAAATCACCAGGTGACAAACGCCCGCTTGAGTAGAACCACTCCAAGGACAGTGCTGTGAAGCCGTGAGGCGAGATTCCTCCCCAAGTGCCTGCTGAAACACCCACAGATGACGATGATGGCTAAACCTGCCCTCCCAGGAGCTGGGGGTCAGTGGATGCGGCCATCTGCATACCCCAAAGGAAGCATGCAAACCATACACTGCCACCAACGGTCCCCAGTCTCCAGCCCCCAAGGGAGGAAGGGGGGGCAAAAACTCAGCCTCAAACAGGACCCTTTAAGAGGTCCACATTAGCCTGCCGGAAGATGCCTGTCCCGGAACCCTAGTCCAGCTGTGACCATCAAGATCAAGACACTGGGATCCCCCGTGCATGCACGGACAGATATATGCACATGAATTAAGGGCTTAAGCTGAATAGTAACAGCCTCTAATCTGTAGAGCTTTCTGATTTTAGGTGAGAAAAAACAAAATCTTGCCAGTACTTTTGCATCAAAGAGAAAGCTAAACTTGCTAATTGAAAACTGGTTTGCATGGAGGAAAGTATGGGGATGCCAGCTATGTAAATTAGCATATGCCCAGATCTACAAGAAATCATGCCAGGCCAGGAGGAAATTAAGCAAATTAGGACGAACACACAAGGCTAGAAGCAAACTGAAAGCACCCTGGTGCCCTACCTGGTCTCAGGGGGGTGATCCGCAGACCAGTTCAGAGGTGATGAGATAAGGCTTTGGGGAGTCCCAGCTGTGCCTGTGGGTGTAGGCGGGTGGGGGTGTTATGCTGTCCCTCCAGGTCAGGGGGAGCTTTTCATACATGCCCTTGAATGCATACACCCTAATTCGGTCCCCCCTTTCTGCTTCGGGGGCAAGAAACCCCTTCATCCAATGCTGCAGAGAAGCACAGGCCCCCCTAACTGGCGCTGGGCTGCGCCGGCTCAGCGACCTAAGCAGTAGATTGTCTCACGAGCCGCCCAGGGCTGGGCTAGGTCTCAGAGCCGCTGCTGCCCGCCGGGATCACACCGAGGTGAAGGGGACCGCGCTCCGAGGTACCTGGGTCTGTGGCACGAGGTGGGCCCGAGCGGCTGGGACGCGCCGCCTGGCGGTGACTGCGTGTCACTGGCGCTGTACCTGCTCACTCTGCAGGCGGGGGCTGTGCTTTGGGCTGAGCGAGGGTCCTGGGAGGGGGGGTCCGTCCTCAGTCCCAGGCAGCTCAGGGTGCACAGCAGAAGCCGCGTGCGGTGGGTAAAGGAGGAGCACAGTCCTGTGCCTGGGAGAGTCTAGGACCAGCTCATAGTGCGATCATGGGGCCATCGTGTGCAAAGGCCCAGAGGAGGCCTGCGGGCTGCGTGCTAGTGGGGCGTGGAGTGGGGGCAGCCGGGGCAGAGGACCTGCCTGCGGGTCAAGGAAGTGTTGGGCAGATTTTCCCAAAACGGAATCTGCCCGCGTCCAGAGGCGATGGACGCCCCCCTGGCGTCGGGTCTGCAGCCAGTGTCCCCTCGGGGCCCTGAGACCTTGGCCCTGCTTAAGCCAGGCAGAGGGCGGCTGGCCCCGTGCCAGCCCGCGCCAGCCCGCGCCCCCGGCCCCGCCCGGCGGCAGGACGTGCCCGGCCCCCGCGCCGCCGCCTCGGCCTCCGCTCGCCGCCGCGCTTGCGTTCGGCTCCCGGGTCGGGCCGAGCTCGCGGCCCCTCCGTGCGCACCGTCCGCGCGAGCCAGCGGCCTCCCGCGCGGCACCGGAGCCGGGGACGCGATCCGCGGGATCCCGGCCCGCGCGCCCGCGCCCCGGAGCCGCCCGCCCGCGCCGCCGCTGGGGTCTGGGCTGGGGCTGGGGGCGGCGGGCGCGCGGCGGCCGCGGGAGGAGGGGAGGAGCGGACAGCAGCCGCCCGGAGTCGGGGGGCGCGCGGGCCCGGCCTGGCCGGGGAGGCGGCGGCGGCGCGGGCGGCCGCGCTCGGAGGGGCGGGAGGCGGGCGGGAGGAGGGGCTCCCCGCGCGGGGCAGGGGCGGAGCGAGCGGCCGCGCCGCGGAACCAAGTGAGTTGGCTCCGGAGCCCGCGCCGCCGCCGGCCGGCACCTCGGGCGCCCGCCGCCCCCGCCGCCCCCGCCGCCGCCGCCCGCGCGGGGATGCAGGATGCTGGTGGGCGCCAGGCTCCAGCGGCGGCGGCGGCAGCTGCAGCAGCAGCCCCGGCGGCGGCAGCCTCTCCTCTGGCCGATGAATGCAGACCCGCCGCCGCCGCCGCCGCCCTGGGTTTGGATGGTTCCCGGCTCGGCCGGGCTGCTCCGGCTGGGCGCCGGGGTCGCGCCCCCGCCCGTGCTGCTCGCCTCGGCGCAGCCCCCCGCCGGCGCGCTGCTCCCGGGGCTGCCCGGCTGGCAAGCCCCCGGAGAGCCCCTGCTGCCGCTGCTGCCGCTGCCCTCTGCGCCAGACCACGCCGCCGCCGCCGCCTCCGCGCACCACTACCCCTTGCTCCACGGGCAGGTAACGTGTCCCCGGCCCCGGGATCCGGGGGTCGCCGGCTGCCCCCCCCACCCCAGCTCCATCCCCTGGGCGCGGCCCTCGCGTGGCCCCCGGGCGGCCCTGGCCCTGCGGCTCGCGCCCTGCCCTCCCCGCGGCGGTGCTCGGCTCCTCGAGCCATCAGGGCGCAGCCTGGCAGCCATGCATCGGCAACAAAGTTCATGCTTCGACGTCCCGCTCTGCCTCTCGGCAGTTTTCGCGGCACGTCCTCGCGGCCCGCGGCTGGGCGCTGGGGAGTCCGCGCCGCAGGGCGGGAGCTGGGACCGCGCTGGCCGCAACTTTCGCCCGGGCCGGGGTCGCTGTCCAGAGCGCGGTGCTGAAGCAGCGGCCGCGGGAGCCCCGCGTTGCAGCCGCGTACTGTGGCGACTTATCGCCGAGAAGTTAATACTTTTACAGTCTCTGCCAGACTTGAAAAGCAAGCTGGAATCGAGAGCTATTTCTGATTCTGATCTGGGCTTCCCCCCTTTTTTCTTTTTCTTTTTTTTTTTTTTTTTGGTCTTTTAGAATAGGCTCAGGACAATGCTTAAGAGAATTCAAACCAATGGAAGCTGGCGAGGAAATCCTGTCTTTAATACTGAGAAATATTGCCGGCGATTTTCCCTCCCACCTAGGTCAGCCTGAGTCCACTAAATTAGCTAATGCCATATTGCACTCTAGAAGAGTTTGGGGTTTAAAACGTGGAATTAAAAAGAAAAAGTGACTGTACCTTTGATTAATGGTGCAACAGAGCAGGGCAGGCTGCTTTTGGCAAGACCCATTGTTTGCTGTCTAACTATGCAGATGCATTTAAATCAGGGAATAACATGTATTTTATTCCCAAGATTGTCCTCATTAGCATATTCAAATGAGTGGTGTGTTAGAATACAGCATTTAATTAATTTAATTCCAATATTATCTGGTGAGCTTTTCTAAAAGATGTTGTTAAACTCCTCCTAAAGTGGTCTTCAGACTCAACGACACATCACATATAAGGTGCTGGATATCACATTTTGATATGTGATGCAGTTCATATTGGGTTTTATTGAATAAACGTCGGTAGCTTTTTCCGTGTTTTGAAAAGGTTGTTATATCAGAGTCCTACCACTAGAGGTATATAATGTCAAGGAACTACAGCTTTTTTCAGTAGAGAACACTGCATATGTGTGTGTGTGTGTGTGTGTGTGAATTTAAACAGAAAAATCTAAAAAAAACTTATCTCTTAAATATTTTCTGCTACATATTTTCTGTTCAATAACAATATTTAGAACCAGAAGAATATTTTCACATTAACGGGAAGATCAAAGAAGCTTTTCGATTTTAAAACAAATAGATATCAAAGTGTTCCATACCATCAAACAATAATCTTATTAGTTCTCCACTGATGACGACTCAGTTATTTAAATTAGAGAGAGTGTCTCCTAAATCGTCCCCCCTCAGTGTTGCTGTTCTGTCCTGTGCGTTGCGATCTTTAGTTGTCTGACAAGCTCACTTACATTTTCTCTGCCTGGGACTGTATTTGCATTTGTGAACCTTGGGAAACTTTGAATCCTAACCCCTGAGCTAATTTTATTTTGAAACTATTAGCTGTGTTGGTTTTTAAATGATAAGTATAATGAATACAAGAATTTGTGTTGAAAGCATAATCATAAAATAGAGCTTCTTACTTGCTTGTGAAAAGGGTTTCAGAATTACAGAAGGAATACCCAGCATTTCATCTCTCCATTGTGGTTTCTCATTACCTCAGGGTAGAAACCCATTTCTTACCATATTCTCATGGCTTTGTGCTTAGAAATTCTTTCCCATTATCGAAGAATGCAATGTTGGTGATGCTTTGTGATGATTCCAATATGAAAGCTTTGACACGTTTTTAAAATTTGTGAATATTTATGGTTTTTCTTCACCCTTGAAAGGAGGAATTTCTCTCCTAATTGAATACATATATTTTAAAATTATTTTCTTAAAGCACCTATCCCAACATCTTGTGGTACAAAGTAGTTGATATGTTTAGGCTAATGAGCACTCCCTTGTGTTTTCTTGGGTTTCAGTGGCTGTGCGGTGGCCATTCTCCATCTATAGGACTCTCTCCCTCTTCCACTGTGGAGCTGGTGCCCATTTTCCCACATGTCTGCCCGTCTGCTCTCCCACCTCCTGTTGGGAAAAGTTGGATAGACAAAAGGATACCTAATTGTAAGGTAAAATGCAAGTAGTTTAATTAGATGAATGGACCATTAATTGTTAATTTGTTGGGCATTTCCGTAACAGCAGAAAACATTGTGTGTTTTCTAATTGCAATACCTAGGTCTAGAGATAAATCTTTTCAGAATAAGGTCAATCTGTTCAAAAACACCAGCAGAGGTGGGGGCTTCTTTTGTTTTAACTGAAAAATTTGGATTCCATGGAGCCATAAAAAGTTTCTACTTCTGAATCAGAATCCACTTGAAAATTTTTTTTCAGTTTTTAGATCTGTAAACATTGATCAAAATCTAGTCTTAAACATTGTATAATTTAAGTACAAATTTTATGAGGTTTTTCTTGCTGTTACTGCTTTAAGTGTTCATCTTTCTGATGATTTATCTTAGCTTTTGGATTCAAATTTAAGGACCACACTGTGTTTACTTGAAAACTAAAGGCAAGTAATATGGTGTCTTTCCTATAGCACACTATTTACTTCACTGAGGGATTCCTCCGTTTGTAGACTGGCTGCTAGGCTCAATTAAGCACGTCAGTGGTAGAAGACCGGCCCAGGAGACTTCATCTAGAAGGTGACTGTTGTCAGCACCATGGATCTTCAGGGTTTAGGATGATGCCTTTAGAGGGTCCCACTTACAGAATCCCCAGTATTTGATCAATGTCAGAAAGAGAACTATTTTATAGCAGGGTTTAGCTTTTATCATGGGTCTTGTCTTACATGTTATGCTCGCTTTATTTTTGGACAGATCTTTTTTAATAATTCCTTTGCTCTGGACTCAACGTGGATATATCCTGAGGAGTCAAGGTTGTTCCGTGGGCATGAAAAGCCTCATCTGTTGGCAAACCAAGTCGCCCTGTCTCTGTCCAGACCAGCTCCTGCCTCCTGGCCTCTTCCCACGGGGCTGTTAGCACCTCAGCTAATACCAGGTTGGTGCCCCAAATACATATTATTTTTTGTTTCTGCTTTAGTCATAAGTTAGTTTTAGGTATGAAAACTATATTTGTCATTTTAGTGAAATGATTATTTCACGTTGTAACTTTTTTTCATGAGCATGATTCCTTTTTATAAGGAAATTGGGTGTTGAGTAGCTCATTCATCGTGTTTTTAGACTGTGGAATCTGTTTTTAAGATGAAGGTATGGCTGAGGGGATTTTGATAGAATCCCAGTTCTCAGTGCTCAGTTTTTAGGCTCTGGCTGAGTCTTCTGCTCTTAATAGGAGTACTAATGGATCAGAAGGTCATTGCCCACACGTTCCTCTTGTGGGGTAGGGCTCATGTAGCCAAGCTCCCTGGTCTGCAGGACGGGGGCACCTGCAAGATGCTTGTGAGTTTTGCCTGCATGCTGGGGGTGCTATTGGGAAGGACCTATAAAAATATACTATTCGGAAGATGGATTTTGTTCTATCTTTGGAGCCTAGTGGCCTGAAAGAACATTTGTCCTGGAACAGACTCTCATGAAATAATCTCTGGATGAAAGATTGTATAATAAACCTATGTAGCAACAAGAGAATAAAATCATCTTGTGAATTTTTAAATTGATTTTTAAAATCACCTTAACATAGATCATAGTATAAAAGCGAGCGTTGTCCATGCCAAGATGATCTTGCAACGCCTTCCATTATGGAATATTTTATGACTTCAGAATTACATTATCTTCCTGTAATCTCCTTCCTACCAAGCTTTTCTCAATGTGCGTCTGTAAAATTCAGTAACAAGGACGTGTTCCTGTGGATCACACCGTGCCAGTTTAGGACATGTATTTATTTCCTTCTCCCTCTGCCTACCTTGCATGTTCTAGTTTGCTAGAGACCTTGTTTAGTAACAAATCAGGAGGAACAGCTCAAGTGTTCGTGTTTGTCACAGGCTTTGATGGTTCTTGACTGAAACTTGCCTTCTGTCCTTGTAGTGGTGCATTACTGGGTCGTTAAAATCTGAGTTCATATCACGCATACATTTATAGACATTTTAGGCTAAGATGATCCTGTTTCCTACTTAATTCAATGACCATACAGGATGATCAGATTACACGTATCACGTAAGGACTCCATGACTTCCGCTGGCTCATGTACCATCCTTGAGTATCACAGAGACACTTCTCGGTATACCTGCTCCTCTTCTTAGAAAACCCTTACTGTGGAGGCACCTGGGGGGCTCAGTCATCAAGAGTCTGCCTTCGGCTCAGGTCATGATCCCAGGGTCCTGTGCTCGAGCCCTACATTGGGCTCTCTGCTCCGCAGGAAGCACATTCTCCCTCTCCCACTGCCCTTGCTTGTGGTCCCTCTCTCACTGTGTCTCTCACTGTCAAATTAATTAATTAATTAATTAATTTAAAAAAAAGAAAACCTTTACTATGAACGTGCTAAATACGTAGTTAAGGACGCTCGTGGCAACTAACAGATTTTCTCTCGTATGGCTATTCTTTATTGTGTGGCCAACATCTCATACTTTATTCAAAGCAGATTTATGTTCATCTTACCTTTGACTTTTGACTACTTTATTTTAAAGGACAAAACAAAATAATATTTCTCACTAACATGGTTGATAATAGAATAATCATTCTGACCTGGTCCACTATCTGCAAAATCTCTGCTTCTATTTTTCCCTGGTTTGTCTTTGTTTTTGGTTTTTTTGAACTTATAACCCATAAGAATATAAGACTTACACTCTTACTTGTCTTTTGGGGACAAATGTGTCTGTCTCTAGAGGTAATTTAATAACAGTTAAATGCATGTGTTTGAGATGGGAGTTTTCAAACTTTGTGAAAATTTTGATTTTTTAAATAAATTTCAGAATTTTTAGGAACTACTGTTGTACAAAGCAGGTGTTAAATGCCCTGTGTACACACAAGGTATTGAGGGGGTGGCTTGTGTGTTACTAACTGCTTAACAGAGAAGCGGGGAAGAGAGCTCGTAACTGCAGAAGGCAAAGTCAGCTCCAGGTCAACTAACAAAGAAGACACGTGGTTGTGGGTTCACCAGAGTTAAGAAAATAAAAATGCACTGAACCATGTTACAGGTCAAGCTTCAGAATACTGGTAAAAGCAATTATGAAGGGGCGCTTGGGCGGCCCAGCAACTTGAGCAGTGGGCTCTTGATCTCAGCTCAGTTCATGATCTTGGGGTCATAAGATCAAGCACTGGGTCAGGCCCCCTCCTGGGCACAGAAACTGCTTAGGATTCTCCCTCTCTCTGCCCCTATCCCACCCCCACCACCTGCTCACCCACTCAGGATCTCTCTCTCTCTCTCTCAAAAATTGCTATTAAATTTTTTATCCTATTATAGATCAATAAATTTAGATATTACATTTATTTTTATTATATAGTTATACATTTAAAATATAAAACATTGCATATCTTATATTAATATATCATGTATAAATATGACATATAGTTGATTTTTTAAGTTGATCAACCTTGTTATACATTGTTTTATTCGTAAGTTAATGGCTTTATATCATAGATATGTTTTATTGATCTGATTTCAATTAATCAAAGGAACACCATCAGAACTCCAAAAGAACCAGAAGAATGAGTCAAACCCCCTCATTTTAAATAGGTCTGGTGAGCGAAGCTCATTTTCCTTTCTTGGGTGGGTAGTAATTTTGTGTAATAATCACTTTGGAGTCATGTTTTGTACACAGGACAAGGTCAAGATGTGCCATGAGCTCCAAAGATAAGACATAGATAGCAGCTTTGTTTGACTAATCACACCATATGCTGAACTGGATTAGACATTGAAACAGGCAGGGATGGTGGTGTTGGGTGGCCTTGGACACTCGTGTTAATATCTCACAACCCGATATGTTGTTGGGTAGCTGACTGCACAGCAACAGGGTCTCATGTAATATTAGCATAGCTGTGAATTTAGCTAAGTCATCTGAAGCCTGATAAATATTATAAAGGACTTTACTTCATTTTGATCTATATTAGACTCACTTATATTGAAGGTACTAGGGATGCTCTGCCATTATATGCCAATCTGAAAAAAGCACATTGGCTGCTTTTCATCCTGGAACCTAATGGTTAATATCATACTCTTGCTTCATTCCCTGGACCATGCTCCTGCCGGCCATGCAGGGTGCTGGGAAGGAGGTCATGCTCCAGTGGGGAATAGGCAAGTCAGAAGATGATATCATGCAACATGGATCTTGTATGCTCTCTGTGGACCTTTGAGGAGAGTCTTAGGATGGGGATCATCAGGAGAGGGCCCAGCCCTGGGGGGAGGTGATGACACCTGAAACACATCTCCAAGACTTAGCAGAACTTGAATAGGGGAGGGGAATGGGATTCCAAACGAAGGGCATAGAATGTGCCAAGAGACAAACACATGAGAAATGTTGTGTCTGGTCATCACACGTGGCTGAGTGTGGCCACACCACAGATGAAGATAGAGAGGGGCAGGGGGCAGGGATGGGGCAGCAAGTGTGAGCCCCATTATCCCACTGGAACTGGGTGGTGTGTAAGCCCTGGCTCTTTACAGAGTGTTGTGGAATTTTCCCTCTTTCCTTGGCTCGGGACCCATAGTTCCTTCAGCAAAGTGAAGCAGAGCAGACACAGAGAAGACAGAGTGTTTTTCTCATTGAAAAGTAAATCCAAGCATTTTTAAAATATGCAAAGTTACAGCTGTACTAGAAACTTAAGTCTAATGAATAATTTAGTGGCTTTTTAAGGAATTATCCCTAATTACAGTATGAATGGGTTGAATTGAGAAATAAGCCAGGACTCACTCATTCCCAGATCTCGGAAATTGATTCAAGGCAAGACTGCTGGGGAGGAGAGTCAGTGGGCCACCGGCACAGATGTACTCTTCTCTTGAGGAGCTCCCCCACACTTAGGTCGGTGTCTTTGCTTTCTCTCTTCCACCGACATCCCCTTTCTCCCATGCAGCAGGGGGAGCCCATCTTTCCAGGGAGGAGAGGGGTTGCACCACATCTTGGGACACAAGGATGATAGCAAGCAGAAGAGGAGAGAGGCCAGTGTGGAAACGATGCTTCCTATGGACTCTCTGTACCGTACTTGTAAAAATGAGAACTTCTGGGTCCTTCAAGCTGCTCAGAAAGAAAATTACTTAGATTCAGAATATCAAGCAATGGGAGGTTCTGTCCAGTAAAGATGCATTAAATAGTAGTTTGGTGGAACGTGGAGATTTGTCTAAAAGTTGTCTGTACAACCTTGCCCTTTAGCTTAAAATCAAAGAAGCTGATTCTACCAACACCTTGGTGGGAAAAAAGCCAAATCGACCTCATTCAAAGATGACCAGAGAGAGAGAGAGAGAGAGAGCTGATGGAAGACAGGGTGGGGAGCCTAATCATATTCTGCTCCATAAAAGATTAATTTATTCAAAAGATGTGGAAGAGAAACAAACCTAGGAACAGGTTCTTGCATGGGAACTGATAAATATGTTGGACAAATTAACATTTGGTTTACCTTATTAGAAAAAAAAAGAGTGTTACAGAAAAGCAGCAAAAGATAAGATCAAAAGAGAGCAGCCAAGATGCAAAGTCGTGCAGAAAGATAGTCAGATGCGAGAAAAGAATGCAAGGGAACTTTTGAACGCTGGCAATTAAAATCATTAAAATGAAGAGCTGATTCTGGATGTAATGATGGAAGACAGTGCAGGAAAAGTCTCAAGCATGCATCTCTGGAACAAGAGATGAGGATAATGAGAGAAGGTGATACGTAAAATAGAAAGCAAACAACACATCGATTTGTCTCTGGCCTCCGTGCAACACTGAGAGCAGCAGGGGTGTGCAATGTGGCTGTGCCATGTATCTTGCCCACTATGTCCTGTTAAACTGTATGTATGAGAGGGAGAGGCACCGCTTGACACAGAAGTGGACATAAATTTACGTCATTCTTCAGCACCAGACACCGTTAGTTGGTTGGCGAGCTTTAGAGAATTATGAGGACAAAAGTCTGTGATTAAAG